AATAAGAAAAGATTGTCAGGAGTGATGTACATGCCAGTAATTCTGGCACTTGGGAGGTAAAGGCAGGTGGATCACTGAAGTCCAGGGGTTTGAGGTCAGCCTGAGCAATGTAGTGACATCCTATCTCAAACCCCCATACCCCATTAAAAATACCAAAACCAAACCAAAATAACAACAAAAGAGATTGTTGGTATTAGAGCAAATCATGAATTATGGTCTTATTTCTACTATGAACTAGCTATGTGACTTTTTAACATTAATTACCTTTTATGGACCTCAGTTTCTCTACACCCCCCCCTGCTTTTTCTTCTATTTTGCTACATAATCTTTCAAAATCCAATATTTCCTAGAAGTCCTGAGCACTCATCCATGGCCCTTCACCCATATGCTCAGGCCCAGCCACTGCTTAATCCCTTGGGTGCCATGGAGTCTGTTGAAATCCTAACTAGCTGATTTTCTGGTTCTGAAATTTTAAAACAGCATTAGCGTGATGTAGAGTTGGCTGGATTAGGTCAAGGTATTAGCATATGGGCAGCTCTTTTAAAAAAATATTTTTAGATGTAGATAGACACAATACCTTTATTTTGTTTAGTTTTTTAATGTGCTGGGGATCGAATCCAGTGCCTCAGATGTGCTAGGCAAGTTCTCTACCACTGAGCCACAACCCCAGCCCATGGGYAGCTCTTTTATGACCCACGCAATCCATATATTTTCAGTATTCTGGTTCTACTGTAATAACACACACAGACACACACATATACATACATAAAATTTATTTTTGTGGTGCTTCGGATTGAACACATATCCTTACCCATGCTAAGGCAAGTATTCTATCACTGAGGGATATTCCCAGCCCCTCTGTATTTTACTAAAAGCTGCCTTAAATTTAGTTTTTGTATCAGACAAGGAATAAATTATCAAAATATTTAAACAACTTTAATTACACTTTCAAATTACTTAGCAGTATGAATTTCTAACTGCTTCTTGTCATACTTAATATGAAATTAATCTCTAGAAATAATTCAAATCACATATTTTGTATTTTCTTTTACTTGCTTAAACTTATCACTACTGAATAAGCATGTTTTAATGATGTATTCTAACAACAAATGATGATAATTTAAAAAGAAGAGAATATGGAAATCTCCTCGGTGTCTAGGGCTTTAACTGTCCTGAGCTCATTTTTCCTTGCCCTCTTCCAGAAAGAGAGAATACATTTCTTTTTTTTTTTTTCTTATAGCTAAACTTTTTGTTAAACTTAGTTTATTGCTTTTGCCTCCATTCAAGTCTTCCATCAGTATGTTTTCTGATCTCAGAACTGGTCACACCAGGTCACCAGTGCCCTACATTCTGCTCTGGGACACCCTTTATAAGAAATTGAACAAATTGGAGAAGAGACTGGACTGGGAATCGAGGAGGCTTGAAGTCATATGACATAAGGAAGGTTGAAGACCATGGGGAAGTTAATCTGAGTATTTTAATGGAAAGGGTTAGTCAAGGGAGCCACATTGCATTTTTGAAAGGTTGTCTTSTGTAACAGTAACTAGAACCCTTCAGGACAGCCTCAAGGGGAAGAATTAGGAGTTTGATAATTTGGAGCTGCTTCCTGTAGAGCTTCCTAAGGGGTTTGCAAGCACCCAAACATGGGCTACAGGATGTTCTAGCAGTACTGGAACAATGGTTGCATTAAACTTAMATGTTGTTGTTTTAAAACTCAAAAAACATTTTCTGTGCTTTCCTGCTAAATTTCTACATGTAACATTTCCTTCTTTTTCTGCAGTTGAGCAACATCTTAAATCTCTTAGTACTTCTTTTACAAGTGATACACCTYATTGTAGCTTAAAATGAAACCCAGTTCCTTACATTTACATGAAGTTGGGTAGTTAGAAGTTTCTTCCATTATCTTTCTCCATAAGCTCTAAAAGCATGCCTTTATTATGAAACTACAACCAGTAGGAACTTTGACCTCATGATAATTGAGAGAATAATGTATTTTATGATCTCATTAGAACCTTGGCATGTATGTGTGCTGTGTGTGCACAATCTCATATTTTTCTTGTAGAATTTTTTTKTGTGTGTGCCACTTACATTGAGAAGATTTTGGTTTAGAGAGAATCTATCATACTGACATTTATTTTCCTTTAATGTAACATTAAAACAAATATTATTTATAGTGACTTGTTACTTTCAAAAATTTCATTATAATATTCATATTGTAAATATGCAAAAGAAAAAAAAACCCAAAGATTTCATTTTAGTTTATTTTAAGGACTTCTATCTCATAGGTCTCAATTCATTCCTCATGACCAAAATTTCTAAGCAGGAAAATTATATGAAAGAAAATGCTTTCGGGGCTTGGGATGTGGCTCAAGTGGTAGTGCCCTCCCCTGGCATGCGTGAGGCACTGGGTTCGATCCTCAGCACCACATAAAAATATAAATAAATAAAGATATTGTGTCCACCTAAAACTAAAAAATAAATAAAATTAAAAAAAAAAAGAAAGAAAATGCTTTCGTAAATTCATTTAAAGAAATACCAAGAGAGTATTCAAATAGAATTGGCTTCTCTGGAAGTGTAGATTTGGCATTCTTTTCATGAGACTATTTATGATATTAAAAATTTATGCACTCAATGAGAACTCCAGCTTTTTTTKTGTGTGTGTGTGTATGGAGTTGAAGATTGAACTTGAACCCAGGGCCTTGTGCATGCCAGGCAAATGTTCTATCATTGAACAATACCCTGTCCCCAAATTCCATTTGTAATGCACTTTTCCTCAACACTCACTTGAAAAATTCTTACACAATTTAAGTGAATATAGATTCCAYAAGAATTTTAAATCAGCAACTTTGGAAATAGATTGCCATCACTGGATTTATTTAACTTTTTAAATAAAAAAAGTTATTTGATTCATACACTTTGTTTTTCAAGATTTTCAATTAGAATTTTGTCAATAAAATCATATGAGTTGGCCAACATGATTGTTGACACTAAGAATTGAAAGAGTAAACATCAGGCAAAATATAACTATTTGCACAACATGTTTGAGAGATGCTTTGTTTTTTAGAACTCTGGAGCCCTGGCTAGTTGATTGCACTTCAGCACTCATTGCAAATCATCTTTTCAGGCCTTTCACACTTTTAAAAACTTTTGAGATGTTCTGGTGCTCTGGTGATTCTTCGGGTTTACCTGGTTCTGGGCTTAAAGATTTGAATATTAGGGTGGGTTCTGTTTTTATCTTACAAGGACATGTTTGATTAGAATTTCAGAGAGTGTCTGAATATTTTTTTCTGAATATCAAAGTGTTTTTGTGCCTGTTTCTCTTTCGCAGACCAGCAAAGCATGGTAAGGGTCTGAGACCAGAGTTGAGCTTCACACCCTGGCCTCAGAGCTCTCCCAGTCAGTTGCTCTTCACTTCTGCGCCCCCTTGCTCTCCAGAGGTAAACAGCCTTTGCGCTGGAAAGGACTGGCACAAATTCCTTTCTGCTTCGGGAGAAAGCACTCAGAGCGCATGCTCTTCTGATAGTGAGTCTGTAGCGCCATTTTCGTATGAAAAGGACTGCCCACTAATTAGGCATGTTCATTGGATACCTAGCATTAAAGTTGTTCAAACAGTTTGAACAGCCTCACAGGATCAAGTCAAGGGCGTCTTTGGGAGGAACCCTCCCCTCTCCGCAGCGCTTTAGCTGAGAATTTCTTTTGTGTTAATTTCTCTTGTGGACGAGTCCCTTTTCCCTCCTCTTTCTCCGCCCAGACTGGCCAAAGCTGTAATTCCTCTCCCCTTCCCGGACCAGAGCAATACAAAGATTTAGCTTTTGTGATGATTTTGTGCTCATAGTGGCGCCCCAAGTAAGAGGACGTGGAGAACCGGATGGGAATGTTTTTSCCCCCAGTGAGAACAAAGCACAAGTTATATCAAAGTCAAGTATGTGTAAAGGAAGCGCTAGGAGATAGGGCTTCTTTTTGATTTGCTTTTTTATAAAGACGCAGACCCCTCAGTGTTGTGGATGGGGGTTGGTCGGAAGGTCAGCTAGAGGTAAGGTAGATGGTAGAGAAGATCTGGGCTTTAAGTGTGTGTGTGTGTGTGTGTGTGTGTGTGTGTGTGTGTGTGTGTAAGCGCGCGCACGCAGGAGTTTAAAAGAACGTGGGCGAGGAAAAGGAGAATGAAAGAAACAGGAAAATCTGCAGTGGAGAAGACAGTAGGTGCAGAAAAGGATAGGAGGCCAAGTCATCCTTGCCGTGAGGCCGCAAAAGCGCCCTTGGTGACATCCACTCTCAAATCCCACYGTTTCATTCATAAGTTTCAGGCCTGGAGGCCCCGCCCGGCTCCCCTGAGCCGAGGGCTCAGTTTCCTGTACAGCAATTGGTGTACGGCAACAAAGCCTTAGCAACTGGCTCCTAGTGACCCGCAAGGCGCCTGGTAACAGGAGCGCAGGGCCGGCTCCGAGTAAGGAGCGGAGCTGTCCCTTTAAGGGATGGCCGCGGAGCCGTGAAAGTGGAGGGGGCTGAAGGAGGGCGGGGAGGAAGGTCTGGGGGCGGGCCGAGGGGGAGGAAGAGTTGCTGCTGAAAGGAGGTGGCAAAGGAGGAGCCGGAGCAGCTGCTGCCAGCCCGCGGGCACCGGAGTCCTGCCCGCTGCCGCACGAGTAGCCACGGGCGCGATCCTGGCCAGACGTCTCCTCCTCCATGATCACTTTGGGAGCCGGGGGAAGACTTTGCCCGGCCGTGAGAGCTGGTCTGCGTTTCCCAGGCGCGGCGGCAGAGCAGCAGCAGCAGCAGGATCCGAATCGGAGCGGCCACAGCCCGGGGCGTGTGCGCCCCGCGCGGAGCGGGCTCGGGTTCCCCACGGAATGTCCCCGGGGCGCCCGGCGCGCTGACCCCGCAGCCACCTCCGCTTTTGGCGCCTGCTGCCTCCCTCGGGCAGGCTCGGTGTTCGGGACTGCGAGCTTCCCGGCTCCTGGGCAGTGGGGAAGCCCCCGGGGGCGGGTGACCTCAGCTGGCCACGACCCAGCCCTCCCCCGAGCGTATCTCGCTTAAGATGGCAGCGGAGTCAGGGGAACTAATCGGGGCTTGCGAGTTCATGAAAGGTGAGGAGCAGCCGTCCCGCATCCTTCAACCCTTCCACCCCCACCCCCACAACTCTTCACTTCTTGCTCCTTTGTCCCAACCCCTGTCCAGGGCTTCTCCCGGGCCCCTCAGTGCCCTGCAGCTGTTGCGCGCGCTATGGTCCCTGCTTGCTACTCTGCTTTCCCCKAGGACCCCTTGCTTCCGGCTTCTCTTTCTTGCGTCCCTCGTTCCCTCTGCAGCTCCCTGGTAATGGGACAGCGCCGGCTTCTGCCGGGTCTTTTCCACTTAGCAGCTGGTGGGGAACTTGCTCCTGTGAATCCTTTCGGTTGCCTTTACCGGGCCATGGCTGGCCTCCGTTTTTGGGACACCCCCAACCACACCCYTCGATCTCTCCTGTCTTCCTCTTCTTGAAGTGCAGAACTGCAGGGAAGAGGCTCGCTTCTCTTCCCCTTACGCAGCTGCTGAGGTCTGAAGATTTCGGAACCAAACTTGCATCTCCAGTTTTGCGGGTACCCGCAGCTCCTGTCTACACCCGCAGGCCTGAAACGCGCTCTGCCCCTAGCTGAGGTTCTCCATCAGGTCCTCTTCTTGCCTTTCTTAACTATTATGCTATTGGGTCTGAGTCTGCTTTCTGGGAGAGATCAGGTTTCTGCAAGAATCCCACGTGTTAATGGGGTCTTTAAATTATGTGTAGCAGTTGTTATTTTTGAACTTTTGTGTATTATCACACCCTTCATCTCACTTTCTTACTTCTCATATGTTTTCTTCTATCTTTTAAACTTGTCTTTCAGATCGATTATATTTTGCTACTTTAAGGAATAGACCAAAAAGCACAGTAAATACCCACTATTTCTCCATCGATGAGGAGCTGGTCTATGAAAAGTAAGTTTCTATTGTTTCCCCCCACCTTTACCCCTTTCAACAGTTTAGCTTGTTGGCTCTTAGATAATGAGACACTATGCACATTTATGGCAGTTTTATTCACTTCTTCCCTAATGGTGCAGGTAACAATATCAGGGTTTTTCTTTTCTTTTTTTGGCTCAGGTCTTTGGGAAGAATTACAGGGAAAAGTAACATTATTTGAACTTGTTCACATCTCAGACCTTTTTAGACTTCTGTGTATATTAATTCTTTCTACCCACACAACAAACTACCACTATAGATTCCTGACACTGCCCAGGTGGGACCAGAAAGTCACATACTCTATCCTTAACAGACTTTGTAATTGGCCTGTGAATCAGTTGCCAAGTATTTATGGGGCACCCACAGGGTACAGGGCAGTTTGCATATTGTGCTTAAGCTTTGCAGTTTACAAGGTTTCTGTGAACTGTAAGTGGTTTTGTTTGTGTAGCTTGTTTTCAGAAAGTGGGACAACATGAGCTGCAGGGAGTTGTATCCAAGTTCTATGAGATTTTACCTGTATGACGGATTACTGATTGAGTTATTTTACTTAGGTTCCCTGAACTTCATGGTATTATTTTCTTTGCCTTTGAAGAAGGTTGTATAGGAGTGTTCTTTTACTTTCTTTGGCTACTTTTCATCCATGGGTTAGGATTTGAAGAGTATAAGAATAGGAAACTGTCTTCTGTGACCATTGGTCTACAGAAAAAGTTATTTTAATGYTTTAGGCTTAGTAAAAAATTAATTGAAAGGAGATAAATATTCAATAAAAGCAGTAGGCAATAAGGAATAAGAAGGCTGAATTGACTTGGTTAGGTACTTTTATTAAAGGTATCAGTATATCATCAGAGGAGCCTATTGTATTCTAATTTAAACACTGAATTTCACTTTTTTGTTATCTTAACTGAATGTGCACTTGAATGAACATAGTTAAATGAGCCATAATAAGCTTCCTAGGACTTGTCTATTAAAAAAGATATTGGCAGTTCTGCCTCAGGATTTTTGGGTACCAGCAGAATGAGTGTTCTGGACCTTCAAGAGCTATCTTTTATTTGAGGGAAAACAATCTTTAATTGTCACTTTGTCATAGGGGTTCTTGAAACTGATGTCTTCAGGACATTTCTCTTAGTGGTGCTGGGAGGAGGATGCTTCTTGAATGGCTGAAGTGAGAGTGGGAATGAAAGAGCCCTTTGCTATTGCTCATGAAAGCCCAGAGTTGCTGAGGCAGAGAGGTCGAATCCCTGGTGTCAAATTACAGCTCTGCTCCTAGACAGCATGGAGTTCTGCACAGCCTTCTCCCTGACCCTGTGTACCTGGATGATGTCACTGCCAGCAATGTTTACTTAGTGGTCACTCTGTTGTTGGGCATTGTATAGCTTTTCTTTTGTGAGTTTAGGGGTTAGGGACCTCTTGTGAATCTGAGGGTAGGGACTTTGTATGTTCCACTATRTTCAGATCTGCAGTGACTAACGTGCCAGAGGTTGTTAATATGTCATTGAACAAGCTCCAGTCATTGAAGTCTGAGTCACTTCTCTTGGGATTGCTAGGCGGTGGATCTAGCAGAAAATTACACTTAGCCAACTAAATGCAATGTAAAATGCTTTTGAATTCTAATGTTGATAGATGAGGACAATTTTTTYTTTGTGATTTTAATGTTGGTGTTTTATAATAGGGCTAGCTACAAATTATATTCCTTTTTGTACCTATTTTACCTTTTTTCTGGTATCTTGTAAGGAAAGACTTGTTAGAGAGGCTATTTGGTTTATTTTGTGAGTTTGGATATCATTTGAAATGATGAGGACCCAGTCTGACACAGTGTGTACTTGTCCTAGTCTGGACTTGCTCTCTCTTGTCACAGCAGTGGCTGTGGTTCTGATCATCCACAACCCATCTTTATCATTATCCCAAYGTATTACACTGTGCAAGGTGGTGCAGAGAGCAAAACAAGGATGAATGCACATGGTACCTTCAAGGAGCTCCAAGCCAAGAGGCGAGTAATAGGACTGCAGTTAGAGGTATAGGAAAGAAAACTGCCCTGAGAGAGATAACCCCCATGCTAGGAGGCATTCACAGGAAGGTGGGTGCATTTTGTGGAGGGGTTCAGAAAAGGCTTTATGGTGGAGTTAAGGCTGGCTTAGAGGATGGACAGTGTTTTAACAGGCAGGAACATGAGAAGAGAAAGAGGAGAGCATGCAAGGATGAGGAGGGAGACTCAGGTCGTGTGCTCTGGGGAACAGTCTGTCCTCCGCTTTGCCTGGTGTGTATACAGGTCACATGGGGAGATGTGGAATATGAAACTGAGAGGTCAATTGGGGACAGCTTGAATGTCTGGATGAGGAACCCTGGTGGAATACCATGGGACTCTCCTAAGAATTTTGGGCAGGTATGGTGTAACTGGATTCGTAAATAATAGCAAACATTTACTGAGTTTTTAAAAGTGTGCCAGATGCTGTTTTAGGTGCTCCACAACTATTAATTCATTTTGTTTTCACAACAATTTTATGAGGCAGGTGCTGTTGCCATCCTGTTGTACATTGATGAGAATAAAGGACAGAGAAGTTAGGTAACTTGCCCAAGGTTACAGAAGTAGCAGAGCTGGTATTTGAATCAAAACCATATAGTTCCAGAGGACACATCTTCTCTCAAACAATTGATATGACAGCATCATTTAAGACAGATTAGAGAGGGAGTAAGAGCCCACATGGAAAAATTCTGGGATATCCAAGGTGAAGAACCATGTGACTTGGCAATAGATTTGGTGGGCAGATTGGTGGAAAGCTGAGGAAAAAGAGTCAAAGAAGTTTTTAAGAGCCTGGGTGGTAAGCCTGCAGGTGCCACTAACTGAAACAAGAAGTAGGACAGCTTTGGTGAGACAATCAAGCATTCCATCTTGGTCAGATGGAATTGAACAAATTTTAAGGAATAATCACATCATCATTGAATATGGCGTACATTTGAAGTACTTAAATTTGGGAGTTTCAAACTTGAGATGATAAAATCGTAAGAATGATGCAGTTTCTGGGGAGGGAAGGAAGATATCAAGGTCTGTATTGCACAGGAAGAACAAGGGAAGGAACTGGAAATAAGCAGCCAAGAGAGGTGGAAAACTCTGAAGGAGAGAGGGAGAAAGGAGAGAGGTACCGACGCAGTGGAATCTATCCCTTAAGCTCTTCTCTGTGGAAGTGAGGACTGGGAGAGACTGTAAGCCTCTGGAAGGACATGTAGCAMCATGGGTTCTGTCTGTGGAGAAAGTTCTGTGGGGGAGAGAGGTCTTGGTGGTCACATCATGATGTGTGTGTCCCTAAGGTAAGGAGTCTGTTTATATGCACTAAAACACAGAGGCTCATATAGTTCTGTAAGTCTGTAATTATTTGCTGAATGTTTMAAAAAAAATGCTGCCTTTTTGGCTAAATTATCATCTTAGAAACTATTAAGTGGGCTCTTTACATATTTAGGCTGCATTTGCTCTGGACATAGCTGTGTTTCGTGCAGATGTTTATTTAGTTATAAAGGAATGATAGCACTCTAATTGACATGGCAACCTTCTAAGAAGCCAGTAGAGTAACTAACAAAGCAGCCTCATGAGGAAAGGCTATTAGAATGAAAGTTTTAATTTTCTGCTTGATTTTAAACAGGATTTACCTCATTATTATAAAAGTTTTAATAAAATGTGGATAATAAAAAACTCATATTTTGTCCCCAGGTTATGCTTTCAYAAGTCAAAGTTAAAACAGTATAGGTTAACAAACTTTGATACAAAAATAGTTCCATAAAAAGAGACTCTTTCAAAGAAGATTTATCTGTGTTTGATTAAGCTACAAAAAATGCACAACTCTTCAGAAAGGCTAAATCTTTGGTGTTGGAATTGGGCCCTGTAATCCAAATACAGGCTTACTTTTAATAATGTGGCTCACTTTATTTTTTATTTTGGCCCAAGAATTATTGAAATTAAATATGTTAATTGTTACAACCTTTGTGTACCCCTCTTAATGGTCATCTCTGGTGTGGGGTAGGTGTTAATGTCATGGAAAGCCAGTTTGCTGTGAGGGTAGGGACTGGAGTCATCATTTTCAGCCTTGTCAATTTCATTTATTCTCTGGGTTTGCAAAGGAAAGGAATTCAAAGTGCAGAAAAGAACTCTTTATGGAGCTACTCTGGGAACTGGATTTTAAGGAGTTTCTAAAGTGACTCCAAGAAATTCACCAAGTATTGTAGCATGTCAAGAATGAACAACTTCTAATAAGGACTAAATAGATAAATGAAAGATTTAAATAATCAGTTTTCATTTAAACTTTATTAAAGCAGTCTGGTATAACTACATCCAGAAATCTTTTTTTTTTTTTTTTGTAACAGTGATTGAACCCAGGGGTGCTTAACCACTGTTCCACATCCCCAGCCCTTTTAATATTTTATTTTGAGACAGGGTCTCTTGCCAAGTTGCTTAGGACCTTACTAAGTTGCTGAGGCTGGCCTTGAACTCGTGATTTTCCTGCTTCAATCTTCTGGGATTATAGGCATGCACCACTGTGTGTGGCCAT